CCAATGCAACAGTGTTCCTTAAAGTCTTTATGTCCTTTGGATTTAAAGCTTATTTGCCTTAGAAAATAAAGAGAGGGAGATGCTTCTTGAAAGAAGATTTCCTAAAAAGTAAATTTTCAAAAAATCAGTGGTGAATGGGTGAGAGTTTTTTTTTTAGTTAATGGTTAGTTTTTGATTGGCTAGGATTTATATTTATTTGAGAATTCTAATTGATAATTGTCTTATTATTTAGTTTGTTTAGAGATTTTGGTTTTTTTCTTGGACTTGAGATATTCTTTTCATCACTTAAAGTTAACAAATATGATGACTAATTTGCTTTTTCTAGCTAGTATGTTGTTGTAAGTACAAATGTTTTTTTTTGTCATATTTTATTAATTTGAATCATATTTTAGAAGATGTATTTAAAATAGTTCTAGCCTTTTGTCAAAACTCTTTAAAGGATTTCATTTTTAAGTTAATTGTTTCTTATAAAAATTTCTTTGAAGTAAATTATAAAAATCCAGGAATTTATCAAGAAATTGAAGAGATTTGTTTGCAAGAATTGATACTTGTATAAGAATCCTAACAAATTTTTTTAATTCTGTATTTGATTCTCAAGTTTATATTAAATTTAATAGATGGAATATATTCCATTATCTTTTTAATAGTGTTTCAAACCTCATGCAATTCCTTGTAATTCTGTTCAATTCCAATTTTTGAAACTATATACTTGTGTCAAGAGATTGTTTTGGTTTTTTGCAATTGTAAATTCAATCTGGAAGATTGAAAAGCTTGAGAAGTTCAGTCAGATAATATTTATGGTAGAATAAGTTATTTTATAAGGTAGTTGTTAAGTAAGAGAATTGTTGCTATTCTGAATGATTCTATTATTATGATTTCTTTGTTTTCATTTTAATAGATTATAAATATTTGATGTTAGGTTCTATTTATCAGAATAATATCTAGAAACATATTGTGCTGAGTAATATTGTTGAAATATAATTTTCTTTATTTGAAGTTGGATTTGAATTCTGTTTGGCTATAGTTATTAAAGTTACATATTATATAGTTAATTGCAGTATTGTTATTGTTGTTATATATATATTTGTTATGTATATATAATATTATATTTTTATTGTAGAGTTTTTTATTTATGTGATAAATAAAATTTATTATAAAAAACAAAATAATTTTAATATATGATAATTATTTTTAATTAATGTTAATAATTATTAAATAGTTTTTTATTTATTAAGGAGATTATATATATATTCGAATTTAATAAAATTTTAACTTTTGTTAACATTTAATAATTTTTTTATTTAATATAATTTTGATTTTATTTTAATTATTTTTATTTTTTGTTTAAATATAAATTAAATAGTTGTTTTGTAAATAAATCAATGTTAAACTTTGTTAATATATTTTTTATATATAGTATAAAAAAATATTATTTATTTCTTTTTATAATATATATTTTTATATACAAACTAAATAAATTATTATAAGTTTTTTTTAATCCAAATAAATAAATAAATAAATAATAGTAAAGCCATATATTTAATACTTGTCATTAATAATAATAATAATAAAAGTCAATAATAAATTGTAAAAAATATAATGATAAATGATTTTTTTTTAATATTTCCATTCTCAAGATTTAATTGTCTTTTTTATTTAATTAGCATTGTGTATTTGTATAATTAGAAATAAAATCGATTAATTATAAATTATTATATTATGAACTAATATAAAAAGAATAATAAATCTTTGAAACAACTTCGAATTGTTAGCGTACTGCAAATTAATTGGATTAGATTGAAATATCATGTACGGATACCATCCTGGTTTCATTCTATTGGTAGAGCGGAGCATAAATAACGTTTGATTTCTATTCTGATGTACGAACAATATTTTGGATGATCATTTTTGGAAATTCTTTTGTTGGACAGTTACGTATGTCTTCTTTGTCACCCCACCTGCTCATGTGTACATCCAATGAAATTTACTTGGAGATTGACTGTCCCCTTTACAGAACAAATGGTAAACTTTAAATGGTTACGCATAATTATATTTGACATGATTCTATAATTCAATTGCACTCCCATACGGTTACACCTCAAAATTTTTTGTATAAATTCAGGATTTTTTTACCATTTGTATCATTTGTTCGTCGCGCGCTCCTTACTAAAGAGTTGAAATAACAAATATCACACCGATTCATTCTCTCATCCTTTTTTCCCTCTTCTACATACATACATAACAAACATGTCTTCTACAGAAAGTAACATCGTAACCTCTATCTCTGGCTTTGGTCCAGAGGCCTATCTGTTGCCAGGTACTTCTATTGAAAAAACATCGGAATTCTCTTTACCACCAATATTTGCGCTGGACATTTCAGTTCCACATTTTGCCTTGCGACGTCGAAATGCAATAGTAGAGGCTGTATTGGAAACCCCGTTTGTTTTCTGAGAAAGAAAAATAAATAAATAAATAAAAAAAAAAAAAAAAATTTTTTTTTTTTAGCAATACGGTGTCTTCGTGGTATGTAGCAAGTTTTTCCTTTTACGATTTTTTATTTATAATTTTGTATCTAATTTTACCGAATGTTTTTTTTTTTGTAGTATACACCTATTTGCTATTAAAAAAAGAACATTTATATAAAAAAAAAAAAAAAAACGAGAACTATTGAATTATCAAACTATCAAATTTTGAAATTCTTTTTATACATATATCATTAGACCCTTTCTTGTTGTAAATCATATAAAACTTTATTCTTTTTTACATCTGTTAAATATTTATACTGGCACGCTTATAGAAGTACATAATCCCTTAGTCAGGTATCCCTCCACCCTTCCATCCGAGTTTTATTCATATATTTACACATACATTTCAACACTTTACATTTCAACACTTTACATTACTATCACATTTTCCGACAATCTTTGTATCTCAATAACTTTATCGGTTATCCGTCCAAACAAATGTGACTAGTCAAGCGCCGGCCGTCATATCTTTTTTTTTTTAGAGAAAATAAAAATGTAAGACGGATGCTTTTCGTGACCGTCATTTTCTTGATTAGCTTTCACACGACTTGCTACAGAAATATCACTGAAAAATCACATAAGAAATTCCATCGAGAAAAAGTCTGATGAAGTGTCATTAAATTTTTTTACAAGTGATATATATCTGTGAAGATGGTTGTATTCAGTGGGAATAAAATTGCCGATAATCTAATGCGTAAATTATGAATACTTTATAATTATTCCGTTGATAATGAAGTTTATCCATTAATTATATATTGTCATGAATTCTTGGTAAGATTTGTTTATGATGTTGATGTTTGAATGCAAATGTTGTGATTTTATTATTTACATAGAATTAGAAAGTTTCACCTAAACATTAATTAAATTACAATAAAAAATTTCACCATCTCAACAATCAAGATAAATATTTATTCATTAACATATCGTTGAAATCCCGGGGGCACTCCTTTTGCTGGTTTTTGATCAGTATTATATATATATGCTGAGTATGAGTCTGACCATAAGTATTTATGCTGTACTAAATTCTGTATTTTGGAGTATGCTTCCATGTTAGCATATGGTATTCCGGTTTTTGGATCCTTGTACTTTGCTATAAGACCAGTGAATGGACATATTACTTTTTTCGCTCCTGAGATTGAAAGTGCATTGAAATTGGAACATAAGTAAAAAGTCAGGTCGATAAAAGTTTACTCTTAAAATCTTACTTTGAGGCTTCTTCCTCCATTCTTGGAATAATTTAACTTCTTCTGTCTTTGGAAATTGTGAAAATACAAGTAAATTTCTTGCTTCTCGTTTGTCCTCTTTTTTACCCTCGACCGTCTCTTCATTCTTATCTTCTACCATATCTTCACTTTTCTCTTCTACCATATCTTCATTTTTATCTTCATTTGATTCCACTTTTTTATCCTCTGCTTTTCCCTCTGTCACATCACCAAGTTCACACGTGCTATCCAGTACATCTTTCTCTTGTTGCACTTCTTTTGAAACACCTTTCCCTTTACCCTTTTTTGGTACTTCCGTTATTAATTTTAATCGTTTTACTTCTCTTTTGTCACTATAATCAACGAAAGATATCTCCCGTATGAAAGGTCCGGTTATCACATTTTTTTTATATTGCTTTGCTGTCATTTTCTTTTCTGCTTCCTTTAGCTCAAAAGCACGTAGAGATGCCAAATTTTTCGCTTCTGTTTCTTTAGCTTGTGCAAGTAACTCTTCCTGAGTTTTGGGTTGTGCAATTACTTTTTCTCGTTTCGGATGCGCTGCCTACATCATAATCCAACAAACCGTAAGAAAAATAGTATTTAGCATGTGTAAGGCATAGAGCTGACTTACCCTTTTCTTCTCATATTCTTTCAACTTCTCTGCAAGCATTTGTTTACTCTGTACAGTATGCGTACGTGACGACGATCGAATCCCATGCAAAAGTGGTGCTTCATTTAATGAAATTAGTTATGCGATTTCCTTTTTTTTCAAAAAGAAAAAAGTCAAAGTTAAAATATGTTAGAGTATGAAGTGTTACCTTGTGCGATAGGTTTTTTTTTTTTATCGGGGGCGTTACTCGTCGATTCTGACTGATTGCTCCGACTTGGTTGTTCTTTTGATGTTACCACTGACTTACTTGCTTCTTTTTTTCTTAAACGTAAGGAGGGACCTGCAGGAGGTAATTTAGATTTTTTCAACTTCTGAAATCATTGAACGAAATAACATTATTGATTATGGTGATTTTTCATTTAAAGAAAATTATACTAAAAGTACAATACCTTTTTTTCTTGTTTTTCTTCAAGCAATATCTGTTTTTCGGCAATATCTTCGTTTTCATCCGGTCCACTACTACTTTGATCGAAATCAGAATCAACCACATCTTCCTCCTCTACATTTTAAATAAGGATCAATTTTTTGACGAGAATTTATAGATAAAGGACAAAATATGATTCGATAATTTTACCTTTGGCATCCATAAAATCTTCATCATCTTCAACCTCTTGAAACATTTCTTCCAACTCCATTTCCTGTTCGATTAAATCCCTCATTCTTTAAAAAAGTCGGGTGAAAAGGAACTTGATTATTTTTTATGCACGCTTATAAAACAAAAAAATAAAAATGTGCATAAAGCTTACCGGGAACCAGCGTTGGCTCGCCGTTCTCTCGTTGCAACAAGCGACATATTCTTATGAAAAAGTTGAGGTCAAATAGTATATGATATGTTGGTCGATAATGTGATCAAATTAACCAAGCTTTGACTTAAGCAGAAATAATATTATCCAGGTCTTAGACAGTGAGCGAAAGACACTACCACAATATAACTTTTTTCGCGTAGATTTGATAAAAAGAGCATGCAGACGGAAATTTTTTTTTTTAGTTACCCTACTCATTTAATACTGTTTATCGTAACCAATAAAATGGTATCCAATCGTCTCGTGTGTCACGATTATAATTTAATTATTGTCACATGATTTAAATCTTGGTCACCACATCTTTTACTCGTCTTTTACTTTAGGAATAATCAAATTCTTATACCAACTTCTCAAATATACATACAAATTAGAGAAGAGGTGTATCAGAAAATAACATGGAGATATCAATTGACATGCAATACATTTTTTTTTCTTATTGAGATCATGATTTTGCTCGGAGCTTTGCTTCTTCGGCCTTGAGAATGTAACGACGCTTTAATGATTTTAATAAATTAGAACAGAGACACGCAATTAGACACACAATTAGACACACAACGCATACGAATAATTTGACCGTACTTGTTTCTTTAGCTTCAATAATTGAAATCTCTCAAAGTCTGTTAAGGCAGCTCTCTTCTTGCGACTTTCCAACTTTTTGGCCCATGATGTTTTATTCCATTTTTCTAGGATTTTCTCTGCTTCAAAGTATTTCTTCACCACGGCTGATCTACCACCCCTGGGAAATCCTTTGACTACAAGATCAGTAAGGGTGAGACGACGGAATGCATGAGAATGACGAGGTACTCCAGTGGTTGGACCGTCGATAAGCGCCTAATTAAATAGCATGATGAGGGAGAAAAAAAATAAATATTTTTTATATTCAATATAGTTGAATGTACGCTCAAGATACTTGTGTTTTCTGTCGATAATTGTTACAAAGAAAAATGCTAAATTTAATCACCCTATTATGATCGATTATATCAACAATGACAGCGAGTTTTCCCTCATATTCGCCATGATTAATAAAGACTACTCGACCAACTTCGACTAAACGTTTGAAAGCGCCTTTCTAAACGATACGTGGAGGAGAAATGGTAAGCCAACAAATGATAAAAAAAAAATTTTTTTTTTTTTATGATCTTTTACTCGAAAAAGATTCTAACTTGATTTTCGAAACTTCAATTCATTAAACCTCGAAAATTTTCATTAAAAATATGGATGCCAAAAGTTATAACGATTCCCTTCAAAAATAAGAAAAGAAACACACCGACATATTTCCTGTGTTTTTAAACCGAAGTGGATTCGAAAGAGGATTAACAACGTTTGCAATGCGCATCTATTTCAACATTAATTTACGAGATTCTATTGGTTCATAAATTTTTTCATTTTACCATATATTAATGTAAAATTATCTTATAAAATATTGTTAAATTAAAAATATTATAATACTTTAATAAAAAAATAATTATTTTAATATTAAAAATTAAATATATAAAATATAAAATTTTTTTATTTCAATTGTAATTTAAAATTAATATAAAAGAAATATTTTTTTTTCTAATAACTGATAGTATTTTGATTTGATTTTTAAAATTTTTAGATAATTTAATATTAAATTTATTTTTCAAGAATAAAAATTACAAAAATAATATAAAATTTTTTTTCCAATAATTAATTTTTGATCTTATAAATTTATTATTACAATATATTTTTTTTAAAATAAAGTAATATCTTTTAAAAAAATAATTTTATAAATTAAATATTAACAAAAAATATATATTTTTTTATAGGTAATCATCATTTCTTTATTTAATTTGTATAATAATAGATATACATTGTAAAAAAAACAATATTTCTCATATATAAAAGTACAATGAGTTAAATGCTAGCTTGTCTATAGTAACCACTAGACTAATATTGAAAAGAAATTTTAAAACAATATATCTTATCAAGAGACTCCAAACAGTTATGATTACCTAATCAACAAAGAAAATTAAAAAAGTCTGTAATTAATTTGAAAATATACTTGATAAAATTGAATTCACTTTTAATATAAGAATTGGCAACTATAGTAGATATGTCTATAGTAGTTTATATTGAAGTAGAGAAGTTATTGAAGGATTTGGATTTGATTAGAATTCTAAATGCTTGTTTTAATATATTGCTATAAGAATTATTGTTTCATTTGATACCAGTAAGAAAGAAAGTGTTTGCTGTGATACAACGAGATATCCAAACTAATTTACTATATATAGATAAGTTAAGGTCTCAATTGAGGCTTCAAACCAGTTGAAGAAGTTAGTTGTAAAAAAAATATTATTTGTAATATTGCATATCAGCTCTGCTAGCTGTCAGGCATATAAGATTGGCTTGTGATCATTGTTGAAGTAAAAGAACTTATTAATAATATTGATAAATTGATCGATATCTCTTGAAGCTAATAAACATTTAAAGATATATTTAATATTTTCAGTATGTAAACTATACCAGGAACAATATGAATTAGGATATTGTTTTGAATATAATTTGTGAAAATTTTTTCTTGTGAAAAAAGTTTCTAAGAGCAATTTGATTTTGAAGGCAATAAAATCACTATACTTATTAATTCTGAAGTTTTTTGTTTTTTGATTGGATTTATTGATGATCTTAAGACCATAGGATTTATGAATATGTCCAAATGTTCTTAGAACTGAAGAACTTTTACAAATTATATAGGTTTTTATAATACTTAAAATTTTCTTGCACTATGTAATGCTGCTGCCTAACTGAAAATTGTTGATTAGAGAACTTTCAGAAAAATAAAATGATGAATTTTTGATTGATCCATTGGAGAGTATTGTCAGATCTTGAATTGGATTTAAAATTGATATATATAATTTGAATTGATTTGTTTTATACTAGTTTGTTAATTCTTAGTATTATTGGAGCAAAGTTGATTTTTGTCATTTTTCTTGAATAGTTAGATACTTTTTGAAGAATTTTTTTGTTATTTTTTATTTTTATAATATAGTTGAATAAATACTAGTATAAAATATCCATTATTATATAAAGAAAGTTTTCTAAGAAGTGTTCTGAATTGGTTGAAACAATTTTTGTATTGTTTACAAAAGTCTTGTTTTAATAAAATTGAAGATGGTACTGTTGGCAGAAGCTAATTCTTTGAAGTGCAAAAATAAGGTATCAATGAATTAAAGAATGTCTTCTCCTTGTTGTGATATAGTTGTCAGCTCACTAATTATATTGCGTAATCAATGTTTATTTGGACTGTTAGAATTTGAGACTACTTATAATAATAATGTTGTAGGACTTGTGAAAGACAATATACAAAAGCCAGCAAAAGATAATCCTAGTGAACAGTCATTGCATCTAAACAGAACATTGTTTGAATCGATAAAATAGTATCTTTCTTTAAGGTTTGCCCTCTTATTTATATTGTGACTTCTCTTATATGTTTTTATAATACAGTTAAAGTTGTATAAGTATTAGAATAATGGTTTAAAATTTGGTACTGGGCCATAAGTTTCAAGAAGATTGTTTGGATTGTTGAAATCTTTGAACCAATTGAGCTCAGATTCGCAGTGTACTATTCTTATATATAATATGAGTTGGAGCCATATAAGCTTTTCTGTGCTATATTATTTCAAAAGTTGATTAATAAATTTGATATTTAAGGCATTTGCTATATTAATTGCCATAGTTTTATTAAAAAAAGGTAAACTTTTGAATAGGAGGTCAATGAAGTTTTTGGCATTGCTGAAACATATTAAGCAATCAGTCAAATAGATATGAATTTTGAGATTCTTTGCAATTTTGACTGTGTATGTGATTTAGTTATTCTGATTGAATTTCTTTGGATTGCAAATTAGACAGAACCAGATTGATTTATTTTTTTGGATTGATCAAAGGTTTTGGAAAATATATTTTCTGGTTATTGGCATAAAAAGTTTAAATATTAGATTGCGAATTAGTAAGGATCTTTGTTTTTCTTCAAGAAGAGTCATATTGAGACTACTGTAGCTATAAGAATTGGAGATAATTTTATAAACTAACTTAATAAGTTTGTTAATTTTAGATTGAAGTGTGTTAAGAATAGACTTGTTAAAATATAATAGGAAAAGAAAATATTCAAATTTGCTTATAATAACCCAGTCACAAATCTGTTGTTTGATTTCATCTTTCCAGTTGTATTTGAAAAGTTCTTTCAGAATTGTGTTTGTAATTTGGTTAAGAGTCTTTCTATTGGATCTGAGTAAACTTTTGAGGGAAATGAGTACTCCCAGATATTTGATACTTTCATGAGATTTAAATATTTAAATTAGATAGTTATCAAATTTGATTGAGTTACTGAGACCACATTTGACTTTAATATTGGTGATAATTTTGGTTTTGTTTTTGTTACAAGTAATATTGTTTATTGTAAAGAATTAATTAACTGTTAAGAAAAGGTTTTCTATTGACAGTTTGCTATTAGCAATAAGAGCCAGATCATTTATATATGCCAGAATATTGGGAGCAATATAACTTCTGATAGATTTATGGCTAGCTAATTTGAATATAAAAAAGTTATAAAATATTATTCAGATAATAGGAGATAGTGTCTCTTCTTGTTCCACTTCATTGTTCACTGTGAAGAGTTTTGTTGCTTAAAATAGTGTATTGATAGAGACCTTTCTATTGCTGAGAAGATTAATGAGTAAGCTGATGATAATTGTAAGACAGTTGATTCTTTTAAGAGATTTTTTAATAGCTGGTATAGGTGCTGAGTCAAGGCTTTTGCAATGTCTAATAATACAAACCAGAATTCTTTGTTGTTTGTATTGGCTGCATTTAGGGCAAAGTGAACTATTATTAGAGGTTCCATTGTGTTTTGGTTTGAAAGATCAATGAAGTTGAATTCTAAGAAAATATTGTTTGATTTGAGAGTCTTGATTAATCTCTTGTTAATTATGCCAGTAAATACTTTTCTGACTGAATCAATAAGAGATATGGATCTTGTATCATTGAATTTGTGGCTCCAGATAAGCTTTTTGGAAATAAGAGTAATAATTGTTTGTTTCCAAGATTTGGAAATAGATGTGAATAAAAGAATCTGATTAAAAATAAGAGATACAGTATGTGTTGAATAGTTTTCTTACTCAATAGTTTGATAATATCATAATTGACTCTTGAATTTCCTGAAGCTTTGTTTTTAGATAATTTGCTAATTGCATCTTAGATTATTGTTTAATCAAAAGATTAGATGACTTTGCTATAAATTTCTTAGTCAATTGACTTGGTGAAGTATTCTTGATACCAATTTGAAAATTGATCTAAATTAAAGCTTCTGCTTCAAAAAATATTTTGAAAATATTTGTTGATGATTATTTGTATACAGTCTGGATTATTCTCTATTTGATCTTTGCTATTATAAATTTTATGGAGATCTAGTTTTGATTTTATTGAGCCAAGTGCTTTTTTGATATAGTTCTTTGGTTTACTATAAAAGTTTGATCAGTATTTATCCAAAAGTTCTTATTGGAATTGTAATAAAGTTTTCTTGATTAGGAGTTTCTTGAGTTTTTGAAGACTTTATAGTAATAAGTTGTTGTGATTATTGAATGCTACATATAAGATTTCCAATTATTAAGTGAAAGGTAATAGTATTTGTTGATTTTTGAGTCATATTATGGCTCTGTTGATTCTTTTGATTTGTTTATTGGATTTTTTTTTAACATTCGTGCAGTGATCCTTTTGTGTTGAACTAGTTTAAATTTTCTTGATAAACTTGTTTAGTATGTTCTTGCAGATATTATCGAAGTTTTTTCAATTTGGTGATAAGAAAGGCTGGTTCATAAGTTTAGTTCATTTGTAAACTCTATTATATTTTTTTGAAGATTTTTTCAATGCTATATTTAAAAATGGATTTGGTTTTTTTGAACTCAAAGTAATCAAGTTTGATTGAGACTGTGTAGTGATCTATAGAAATTAAGTTACAGTTTTCTATTTTATATCAGATGACTTTGGTAGCAAGATTTCTGGAGACCCATGCTTGATCAATGTGAAAGATACTAGTAGCAGTGATATGTATAAATGCCTTGTTATTAAATTATTGATCAATGTCTATATAGTTAATAAGATATTTATAAATTAATTGTTTGAAAGATAAAATTAAAGCATTAATAGATGTGCTGTTTTTGGAATATCAATTGAAATCTTTTATTATTATGTGATGGAGTTTATAGTAAATGACAAGTTTGGTTGCATGATAGATTTGTTTGGTGACTAGTTTTCTTT